GACCACTTTCATCTCTGTCACCCAGAGGATTGAACAATAAGGAAATGTACCAGTGTTTGTACACACAACAATTCTTATTATACTTTCTTTTCACTTTGACTCTCCCTGAGGAACCCTGAGGATAAATGAAAGATTGAAAAAACCCTCTATATTTCAGAGGACAATATCTGGACTTTGGGTTTCTTCATCATCTCTCTTGAAAAGAATACGGGACCACACGAGAGATGAGGCAGCATCAGGTTCTTCCTTTGAAAATAGATGGCCATAGAGAAGAGTAGACAAAAGGAAGTGAGGCTCATGTTATAGTGGTTTATTTTGCCCATGATACCCCCTTCTTTATTTGCACTTTTTACTGTCAATCTTCCCACATCGTGTAACAGGGTAATGGGACAATGGGAAAGAAATAGAATGGAAATTCTATGCCCAAAAATACTTGAAGGGAAGAAGGGAGGACCTGTGAGTAGGATACAGAGCATTACTGGGAATAGCAGTGATGCAGTAAGGCTGTACTCAGGTATGTGCAAAGCACACGTAATAGCTCAGTCAGAGTACACATAAACAGGGGTGTGTATAGTGTGGGTCGTGGAGACAGAACTCGGGTCACTAGGTTTCCCAGGCAGTGTCTCTACCTGCTGAACCATTTCATGGCTCCAACATTCTTGGCAGATGAAAAAGCAGGCTGGGTATTCTAAGTAATTCATTTCCTCCTTGTGCACTTGCACGGTTGAGAAGTCCTTATAACATCACCCTCTTCCAACCATTTGCTTTGGGTCAAGCACAAAATGAGCTGAAAATGAGTTTGAATTATTTTTGTACTCCTAGATTCTCCAACTTTGTACTGAGAAGATAGTAGGCGATTCATTGAATGGATGCTTCAGCTGATTAATAGATTAATGGTTCAGGAAAGGTGGTAAGTTCATTTTCCAATCCATGCAACACCACTTCACATATTTGATAACAATATCTTTAAACTGCCCCCTCAATAGCCACTAATCCCTGGTTGCTCACTTACCTCTTACAACCCCTCCTGCCACTTATATAAGCCCTTGTCAGTTCCTTCAGATTCAAAGGAAAGACAAATTCAAAACAAGAGGTAACCAAGAGTCCTTTTTAGCATATCATCTTTTTTTTGTTGTCCTTACATATAAATGTCCTTTTAAATTTTCTATAATCATCCTAAAAGCAAAGTATTTCAATAAATAAATATGTTCTCATTGTTAACAAACTTTTTAGGTGTACTTCTTCCCAATTGTTTTTCAAGCCTTTATATAATTAGATAATTTATCATGTATAATTTTATGCCCTATATCTTAATTAGTTTATGCTATGGATTTTCTCAAATTATAAATAATTCTTCAATAATACCATTTAAAGTAGTTGATTATATTTCACTGGAGAAATAAATATTTAGTTATTTATCTAACCAACAGCTTATAGTTGTACACATCAAACATGTGACTATGCTATATGAGGGGAAAAATCAATGTACATAAATATTTGTACATCTTTGACCATCAATTAAAAAAATTACTGGCTGAGTAGTTTCTGGGTGAAAAAGATTCATTTTTCATGACTTGAAATCGAGCCGGCTGAATTCCTCTATCAGGCGACTGCAGTGCTCTGCAGATTTCTTCATGGTCCTCATGTGTACTTTTATTCATTGAATTTTTCTCTTCTAAGTAATATTTTATTAATTCTTTAAGAATCTATTTTAAAATTACTTTTATATACTTTATTATAAAAAGCATAAATAAATAAAAACATCATACACCACAATTAAACAGACCTAAAGTCATACAACTTAATAAATACTGATACAGTTAGAAAAGGCATTCAAAATGACTGTGTAACTTCACATTAAATTTTACACTCTTAGTATCAAATATATCTTATACACCTATTCACTGCCAAAACAAAACAAAAATCTATGACAGACCCAGAACTGAAAGAAAAAGTAGCTTTTTATTCTTTTCATAACTCATGTCCCCTTGAATAAAAAGACAATTTTATGCAATATAGTTTGATTACCTCTCCCTGAATTCCTCCCAGATCTACCCTACTCCCCAAACTCTCCAACTTCCTCCTCCTCTTTCTTTCCTCTCTCCCTCCCTCCCTCCTTCCCTCCCTTCCTCCCTTCTTTCGTTCTTTCTTTCCTTTCTTCAAAACCCCACTAACTCCAGTTTCTGTTGCTCAAATACTCTCGGGTATAGCGCCAACCCCTTGATCATGCTTGTCTGACCATGGATACCTTTAAAGAAAACTTATCCACCTTCTTGCAGAAGCTACCCATGCCAATAGTTATACAGCTAGGAGTAAAACTTCCCGCCCACTTCCCCCTCTCCCCCTCCATGGTTGGATTTTGTCTTGTTTGAGCTTGTATAGATTTTGTTTGCACTGTCACAACTGCTGTGAGTTCATACATTGAACTGCTCTGTTTCGTTCAGAAAACTGATTCATCTCCCACTGGAATCACCCACTGCCTCTGGCCATTAGAATTTTTCTGTCCCCCTCTTTGGCAATGACCCCTGAGCTTTGTGGGGGAGGTATGTGATACAGATGTTCCATTTGGGACGGAGAATTCAGAAGTCTCTTATGCTCCGCAGGTTGATCAGTTGTAGTTCTCCAAGTTAATCATCATTTTGTATAAGAAGCAGCTTCTTGATGAGAGTCAAGAGCTGCTCTAATCTATGATTATCGCAATAAGTTCTTAGGAGCCAGTTTAACACTATGTCCATTTAGTGGAATAATAGTAGTAAATTAAAGTAGGGTCTATGACCTAAGGACACACAGGTTTTAACAGGGCCAGGTATGGATTCCTTCTTGTGGATCAGAATTCAGTCCAGTGACAAAGTGTTTGGTTACTCCTAAACATCCACTGGAGGCATATTTTGCAACACCATTCATTATTGCAGCTAGAGACCACAGACAGGGGAGACTGGCGATTACTCTCTTAAGGCAGTGTGGAGAGCACCTTCCAGCAGTATGAAGCTAGGCAACCCACATTCCAGGTTGTACTAATTGATTTCTCCATGTTTTCTCACTCATGTATGTGGTATCTTCAGCAACAGGGTTTTACGGCCAAGTTTTGATGGTGAACCAAGAGTAATGGCAAAACTCTATAATGTTTGTGGGTCTACACAAGCCCGGCGGCCAACAACTCCAAAAATCGGAACGCCTAAGATAAAAATGACAACACATGGTGATATGTGTGTGGGGAATAGGGATACTTATTCCAAGTGGGAGCAAAAACGGCTACAGCCACTACTGCATTCAGTGTGGAGGTTTCTTTAAAGGATATACACATATCTGTCACATGACCCAGCTATATATTACTCTTGGGCATATATCCAAAAGACCCTATATCCTACTAGAGCGATGCCTGCTCATGTGTGTTAATTGCTACTCTATTCACAATATCCAGTACCTGTAAACAGCCTAGATGTCCATCAACCATTGACTAGATAATGAACATGTGGTAGACTTATACAATGGGATATTGTTCATCTGTTGAAAAAAATCAAAATTACAAAATTTACAGGTAAATGAATAAAACTTATAAATAAATCAAAACATCACACACCATCATCCTGAGTGAGGTGATCCAGAAAGTCAAATGTCACATGTTTACTCTCATATGTAGATGCTAAATTTAAATTTTAGCTTTGTATCCTTTCTTTATATAGCCCACAGAAGTCAAGAAGGTATTAAGGAACCACAGAGTGGCATGTGTGTGTCATCAAGGAAGATTTCAAGGGAAAGGAGATATAATACAGTGCATAAGTGGTCCTAGAAGAAATACTGAAACTGGAAAGGTTAAACTAGGTGGGTTTAGAGGGTTGAGGAGGAAGAATAGGAGGGGTGACTAACTCTAAAGACCTTTTGCGGAAATCATATGGAATCCCACTAATGTAGAAGCTTCTTAAAATATATACATGGAGTTACCCTATATAAAAGAACAGGGTCTATAGGCTAGCATAAAAGGCCTAGTGCCCATATGGTTACCTCTTTTGGAGTTATTTCTTACATATTTGTTAAATTTTAATTTTAAAACAGCTGTAGACTTAGAGAAAAATGTCACAATAGTACATTATTTTTCACATTCCTCATCCAGCTTCCCTAGTTATCCATGTCTCCCATCAAGTTGGTACTTAGAATATCCATTAAAGGAGACCGATGAACTATGTTGCTCATCTGGTTCACAATATTAACTCAAATATATATTTTACTGACTTGCCTGCAAAGCTATTTGTTATCAAAATCTATTTGAGTTTGTGTTGTGTACATATACTGCCCCCCACCCCTCCAGTTCTTCAGTAGCCCTACAAGTCTGGTACTCCAAATAAGATCCAACGGAACAGACACATGCCCAACATTTGCTCCGAACACGGTCTAAATTTAGCATCAGTTTTCAGCTAGTGGGATGTCCACATAGAAGCTAACCAGTACTCAGCTAGTGGGAGGTCCACATGGATGCTAACCAGTACTCAGCTAGTGTGAGATCCACATGGATGCTAACCAGTACTCACCTAGTTTGAGACCCACATGGATGCTAACCATCAGTACTCAGCTAGTGGGAGTTCCACATGGATGCTAACCACCAGTACTCAGCTAGTGGGAGATCCATATGCATGCTAACCAGTACTCACCTAGTTTGAGACCCACATGGATGCTAACCATCAGTACTCAGCTAGTGGGAGTTCCACATGGATGCTAACCATCAGTACTCAGCTAGTGGGAGATCCACATGGATGCTAACCATCAGTACTCAGCTAGTGAAAGATCCACATGGATGCTAACCATCAGTACTCAGCTAGTGGGAGATCCACATGGATGCTAACCATCAGTACTCAGTTAGTGGGAGATCCACATGGATGCTAACCGTCAGTACTCAGCTAGTGGGAGTTCCACATGGAAGCTAACCAGTACTCAGCTAGTGGGAGTTCCACATGGATGCTAATCACAGCACTGAAAGTTCAGGGAGACAGAGGTTTGAACATTACCAGCTCTCGGGGTAGAAAACTCCCTTCTTGGCGGGCAATGACCAGGGATACTGTTTCTCCCTGCTTGGTGCTCCTCAGCATGGCTACAAGCTCTTCCTGAGTTCTTCCTGTGACGTCTCTGCCGTTTACCTAGTGAGCAGAACCATATACATATTGACAGTTAGAACATTTCCTATCATCTCCCCTGGCCAAGGCAGGTCTTGCTGAGTTGGCCAACAATGTATTGCTGTAAAGTCAAGGCTGTCCTTGAACTCAGATCTTTCTGACAAAGCTATTGAGTGCTGGGATTATAGGCATGTACCACCATGCACAGCTCCTAAGAAATTTTTTTTTAACTCTTTGTTTTGTGCAACAAATGCATTTATGAATTCCATGAAGCTTTGAAAGGATGATACTAACCACATGGCCCAATATATATATTTTCAATAAAAAATGGGCATCATAATTTTGATACTTAGAAAAACTCAATCAATAAATTATTTTATACTGGAAATTTTTTCCTAAGTCATTACATTTTTACAAGGGGAAAATCAGACTGATAAATGTCAGACATTAATTCATCAAATAGGTATGCAATGGATTGCAATATACCATGCAGAAGTGGATTATTTACCTTAAAATAAAATTACTGTAGAAGTACATGTATTTTGGTGTAATCCCAAATGTTTCTTTTGTCTAGAAAAGTGTTATCAACAGGTTATCATAGGTTATTGGACATCAGCCTCAGAGCGCCATGTGTCAGGTGGAGCATCCTTCCTGATGTAGAACTACATGGACTGCCAAAATGTTTCCAAAACATACTTAATGATAAACTTTTTTATTGATATTTATTGAGCTCTACATTTTTCTCTGCTCCCCTCCCTGTCTCTCCCCTTCCCTCAAACCTTCCCCAAGATCCCCATGCTCCCAATTTACTCAAAAGAGCTTGGCTTTTTCTATTTCCCATTTACATTAGATCTATATATGTCTCTCTTAGTGTCTTCATTGATGTCTAAGTTCTCTAGGATTTGTGATTTGTGGGCTGGTTTTCTTTGCTTTAAGTTTAAAAACCACTTATGAGTGAGTACATGTGATACTTGTCTTTCTGTGCCTTGGTTACCTCACTCAAAATGATGTTTTCTAGCTCCATCCATTTTCCTGCAAAATTCAAGATGTCGTATTTTTTGTTTTTTTTTTTGCTGTGTAGTACTCCCTTGTGTAAATGTAACACATTTTCCTTATCCATTCTTCAGTTGAGGGGCATTTAGGTTGTTTCCAGGTTATGGCTATGACAAACAAAGCTGCTATGAACATAGTTGAGCACATATCCTTTTGGCACGACTGAGCATCCTATGGATAGATACCCAAAAGTGGTATTACTGGGTCCTGAGGAAGGTTGTTTCCTAATTTTCTGAGAAATCGCCACACTGACATCCAAAGGTGCTTTACCAGCTTGCATTCCCACCAGCAACGCAGAAGTGTTCCCTTTACCCCACAACCTCTCCAGCGTAAGTTGTCATCAGTGTTTTTGATCTTGGCCATTCTTACAGTGGTAAAATGGAATCTCAGAGTTGTTTTGATTTGCATTTCTCTGATGACTAAGGATGTTGAACATTTCCTTAAGTGTCTTTCAGCCATTTTAGAGTCCTCTGTTGAGAGTTCTCTGTTTAAATCTGTACTCCATTTTTTTTATTGGATTAATTGTTATTTTGATGATCAATTTCCTGAGTTCTTCGTATATTTTGGAGATCAGACCTCTGTCTGATGTGGGGTTAGTGAAGATCTTTTTCCATTCTGTAGGCTTTCATTTTGTCTTGTTGACCATGTCCTTTGCTTTACAGAAGCTTTTCAGTTTCAGGAGGTCCCATTTATTAATGGTTTCTCTCAGTGTCTGTGCTGCTGGGGTTATATTTAGGAAGGAGTCTCCTGTGCCCATGCGTTCATGTGTACTTTCCACTTTCCCTTCTATAAGGTTCAGTGTGGCTGGCTTTATGTTGAGATCTTTGATCCATTTGGATTGAGTTTTGTGCGTGGTGATAGATATGGATCTATTTTCATTCTTCTAAATGTTGATATCCAGCACCATTTGTTAAATACGCTTTCTTTTTTCCATTTGATATTTTTTGCTTCTTTGTCAAAAATCAGGTGTTTGAAGGTGTGTGGATTAATATCCAGGTCTTTGACTCAGTTCCGTTGGTCTTCTTGTCTATTTTTATGCCAATACAAGGCTGTTTTCAGTACTATAGCTCTGTAGTAGAGTTTAAAATCAGGGATTGTGATGACTTCTTTTATTGTACAGGATTGTTTTGCCTACCCTGGGTTTTTTTGCTTTTCCATATGAAGTTGAGTATTGTTCTTTCAAGGTCTGTTAAGAATTTTGTTGGGATTTTGATGGGTATTGCATTGAATCTGTAGATTGCTTTTGTTAAGATTGCCATTTTTACTATGTTAATTCTACCTACACAAGAGTATGGGAGATCTTTCCACTTTTTGGTGTCTTCTTCAAATTCTTTCTTCAAAAATTTAAAGTTCTTGTCATATAAGTCTTCCACTTGTTTGGTTAGAGTTACTCTGAGATATTTTATGCTATTTGTGGCTACTGGGAAGGGTGTTGTTTCTCTGATTTCTTTCCCAGCCCTTCTATAATCTGTGTATAGGAGGGCTACTAATTATTTTGAGTCAATCTTGTATCCTGCTATAGTAGTGAAAGTGTTTTTGAGTTGTAGAAATTCCTTGGTAGAATTTCTGGAGTCACTTATGTAAACTATCATATCATCAGCAAATAGTGAGAGTTTGACTTCTTCTCTTCTGATTTTTATCCCCTTGATCTCCTTTTGTTGTCTTATTGCTCTAGCTAGGACCTCAAGAACTATATTGAATAAGTATGATGAGAGTGGACAACCTTGTCTTGTTCCTAATTTTAGTGGGATTACTGGAGTTTCTCTCCATTTAGTTTGATGTTGGCTATTGGTGTGCTGTATATTGGTTTTATTATGTTTAGGTATGGTCCTTGTTTCCCTCCTATCTCCAAGACCTTTATCATGAAGGGATGTTGTATTTTGGTGAAAGCTTTTCGGTATCTAATAAAATGACCATATGGTGGATTACGTTGACAGATTTCTGTATGTTGAACCATCCCTACATCTCTGGGATGAAGCCGACTTGATCATGGTGGATGATTATTGTGATTTGTTCTTGGATTCAATTTGCCAGTATTTTATTTATTATTTTTGCATCAATGTTCATGAGTGAGACTGGTCTGTAATTCTCTTTCTTAGTAATGTTTTTCTCTGGTTTGGGTATCAGGGTAATTGTAGGGTCATAAAAAGAGTTTGGCAATGTTCCTTTTGTTTCTATTGTGTGGAATAATTTGAGGAATATTGGGATTAGTTCTTCTTTGAAAATCTTGTAGAATTCTAAACTGAAACCATCTGGTCCTGGGATTTTTTTTTTTTTTTTTTTTTGGTTGGGAGACTTTTGATGACTGTTTCTATTTCTTCAGCAGTTATAGGTCTGTTAAAGTTTCTTATCTGGTCTTGATTTAATATTGTTGATATTTTCCAGAAAGTTGTCCATTTTCTTTAAGTTTTCTGATTTTGCAGAGTATAGGTTTTTAAAATATGACCTAATGATTCTCTGTATTTCCTTTGTGAATATTATGTCCCCTTTTTCATTTCTGATTTTGTTAACACGGATATTTTCTCTCTGCCTTTTGGTTAGTTTGGATAAAGATTTGTCTATTTTGTTGATTTTCTCAAAGAACCAACTCTTTGTCTCATTGATTCTTTGTATTGTTTTCTTTGTTTCTATTTTGTTGATTTCAGCTCTCCATTTGATTATTTCCTGCTATCTAGTTCTTCTGAGTGAGTTTGCTTCTTTTTGTTCTAGAGTTTTCAAATGTTTTGTTAATTCACTAGTGTGGGATTTTTCTAGCTTCTTCATGTAGGCATTTAGTGATATGAATTTTCTTCTTAACATTGATTTCATTGTGTCCCATAAATTTGGGCATGTTGTGTGGTCATTTTCATTGAATTTTAGGAAGTGTTTAATTTCTCCCTTTATTTCTTCCTTGATCCATTTATGATTCAGGTGAGCATTGTTTAGTTTCCATGTGTTTGTGGACTTTCTGGAATTATTATTGCTGTTGACTTCTAGTTTTAAACCATGGTGATCTGATTAGATACATGAGGTTATTCCAATATTTTTGTATTTGTTGAGGTTTGTTTTATTACTGAGTATGTGGGTAATGTTTGAGAAGGTTCCATGAGGTGCTGAGAAGAAGGTATATTCTTTTCCAATTGGATAGAATATTCAATAGATGTTTGTTAAGTCCATTTGAGTCATAACATCTGTTAGTTCCCTTATTTCTCTGTTCATTTTTTTGTCTGACTGACCTGTCCAGTGGTGAGAGGGGAGAGTTGAAGTGTGTGGGAAGTTTAATGTATGATTTAAGCTTTAGAAGTATTTTTTTTTTTTACATACAACGGTGCCCTTGTCTTTGGGGCAGAGACGTTTAGTATTGAGATTTCCTCTTGATGGATTTTTCCTATGATTAATATGAAATGACTTTCTTTGTCTCTTTTGACTGATTTGAGCTTGAAGTCTATTTTGTTAGATATTAGGATAACTACACCCACTTGTTTCTTAGGTCCATTTGATTCGAATATTTTTTCCCAAACCTTTACTCTGAGATGATGTCTGTCTTTTAGGTTAAGATGTGTTTCTTGTATGCAGAAGAAGAAGGATGGATTCTGCTTTCGTATCTGATCTCTTAGCCTGTGCCTTTTTAAAGGTGAGTTGAGTCCACTTATATTAAGGGATATTAAAATTAATATTAAGGGACCAGTGATTGTTATCTCCTGTTAATTTAGTTTTCATTGTTGGTGATGTTAATTTGTGCATTTTTCCTTCTTTGGGATTTGGTGCCATGAGACCATCAATTGTCTGTGATTTTGTTTGTGTAGCCAACTTCCTTGGGTTGGAGTTTTCCTTCTAGTATTTTCTGTAGTGTTGGGTTTGTGTCTAGGTATTGGTTAAATCTGGTTTTGTCCTTCTATGGTGATTGAAAGTTTAGCTGGATATGGTAGTATGGGCTGACATTCGTGGTCTCTTAATGTCTGCGTAATGCTTGACCATGACCTTATAACTTTCATTGTCTCCAATAAGAAGTCAGGTGTAATTTTGATAGGTCTGCCTTAAATGTTACTTGGCCTTTTTCCTTTGTAGCTCTTAATATTCTTTCTTTACTCTATATGTTTAGTGTTTTGATTATTATGTGGCAAGGATGTGGCAAGGGGACATTTTTTTTTGATCCAGTCTATTTGCTGTTCTGTAAACTTCTTGTATATTCATAGGCATATCTTTCTTTAAGTTGGGAAAGTTTTCTATGATTTTGTTAAATATATTTTCTGTGATTTTGAGTTGAACCTCGACTCCTTATGTCCCATATATCCTGATATTTTGGGTTAAGCTTTTGTTAGATTTAATGTTTTATTTGACTGATGAGTCTGTTTTCTCTATTGTATCTTCAGCACTTGAGATTCTTTCTTCCATCTCTTGTATTCTGTGGTTCATTCTTGAGTTTGTGGTTCCTGATCTTTTTCTCATGATTTCTGTTTCTATAATTTCGTCATCTTGTGTTTTCTTTATTGTCTCTATTTCAGTTTTCAAGTCTTGAATAGTTTCTTTCATATGTTTGATTGTTTTTTCTTGGTTTTAAGGGATTTGCTGATGTCTTCCAATTTTTTATTTGTCTTTTCCTCCATTTCTTTTTTTTTTTATAGAAGAATGGTTTATTTGGGCTTATGGTTATAGAACTATAAGAATCTGTCACTACCATAGTAGGCATGGCACTAGGGCAGCAAGCTGAGAGTACATATCTTAAACAAGAAGGAAGGGATATACAGTCGATTGGGAATGGCATGAGTCTCTCAAATGGTGTCTCAACTAGGGATGGTATAAACACTACAAGTCCACTTCTAGTGACATACTTCTTCCAACAAGCTCAAGCTTACTATACCATTCTCCAAAGCACTACCAACTGCAGGTAAAGTAAAATCCCTCACATCAAGATCGAACGAGGATGCTCAACAGAAAAAGAAGTATACAGGGCAGGTATAAGAATCACAGACCCACTCTTTCACACACGTAGGAGTCCCATAACAATATTAAAATCTATAATATAGACATAGAGGATCTGGTGTAGACCTATGTAGACCATGTGCTTGCTGCTTCTGTCTCTGTGAGTTCATATGAACCTTGCTTAGTTGATTTAGAGGATCTTGTTCTGGTGCTCTCCATCCTTTTGGATCTTGTACTCTTTCTGCCTTCTCTCTTCCATAGGGCTCCCTGAGCTGAGGGGAGGAATCTCTTCCTCTCCTCCATTTCTTTGAGGGAATTCTCATTTTCTCTTTAAGAGTTTCAAACATTTTCCTGAACTTATTTTTTTAGGTCATTTTCTTCTGTTTCATCTATATTTAGTTATTCACGTTTTGCTGTTGTAGGGTCTTTAGGTTTTACTGGTGTTGTCTTGGTCTTTGTGGTGTTTCATGTGTTCTTACCTCTTTTACTTATCTTTTCCTCTAATAGGTGTGGTTGGGGCTGTCTGTTATTCTGTTGATTAATCTTCTAGGTGCCAGTGAATCCAAAGCACAGATAATTGTTCCTCGTGGTATAGTCAGTGCCATGGTTCTAGATACCCTGTGTTCCTGGAGATTGCTTAGTGCTCCCAGGCTTTGCTCTGCTTCCTACTTTGGCCTAGATTACTGGCTTTGACCTGTTTCTGTAAATCCTGATCTGGATCCCCTCCTGCAGAAGTCCCTGGATTGGAGTTGGTCCTGCAAAGGTCTCTGGCTCCAGTCTACTCCCTTGGAGTTCCAATGCTTGGTTGTGCCCAAACCCACAGAGGAACTGGCTCAGGATTACTCTCTCAGATGTCCCAGATTCACGCTCAGACCTGCAGAGGTTTCTGGTTCCTGCCTATTCTCTTTGATGTCCCAGAAGAAGGTATACAGCATACAGATATTATAGTTTGGGAGGGTACTGGGACCACTAACAAAAGATAGCAAGTGACTGATATATATATATATATACACACACACACACACACACACACACACACATATATATATGTATATACACACACACACACACACACACACACACACATATATATATATATATATATATTTAGTTAAATATAAAGAAATATTTGCCTGGATACATTAACTTCAACCTACCTCCAAAACTCTGTCCCCTGATTGTAGGCGTCCGTCCTTTATTGCTGCTCCCTTTGGTAAGATGTTTTTTACAAAAATGGGACCAGGACCATGTATAGAAGAATCTCTGGTTACCACAGTGAAACCAAGTCCTTCAGGGCCTAGCATACAATACCAGAAAGATGTATTGTCACTTTAAGCATGGGTCACATGACATTCACTCAGTTAGTAAACTCTGTCCCCTTAAACATGGGTCACATGATATTCGCTCCTTTAGCAAACTCCACCTAGTTTACATTCAAGCAGACCAAGTCTTATTTACATTCTCAGAGATTTTACACAGGCTTTGCTCTTCCTGTTTTAAGTAAAGGTTACAATTCTGAACCAATGAGAGCATCAAAGTGAAGTTAGGATCCATATATAACATAACACTTTGTTTATTCAGGATTTAGAAGACAAGGCATATCATCCACATGTCCATAGTATCAGTTCCTCCGTAATCTGCCTCCTGACTCCATCTTTCCTCCCAAGCAGATGCTTCCCTCTGTTGGGGTTTTGTGGGTCTCTCAATCAACTGAGTAGTTTGTGGCTCAACCCTCTGCATGTGTCCTGATTGCTTTACTGCTGTAGCCACTGTATGGTCCCCAAGAGTTTTGCTGTCCCTTCCCAGTTGTCTTAAATCTCTAACTTCTCTCTCTCTTCTACTGTGACTAAAATGTATGTGGATTTCTTAACTGTAAATAATCTGTACTCAATGATTAGTGGTTCTGGAAGCTTCTACCATGAATAAAGAACTGCTGTGGTTTGGACAAGAACTCCACAAAGACCCATGTCTCCAGCCTGTGACACACTGGGATGTAGTAGGACCTTGAGAGCATGGGGCATAGTAGAAGGATATTAGGTCATTCCAGGCACGACATGAAGTAGACATGGCCCCCCTCGGCCCTCATGTTTCTCTTTCTTTGCTTAGGGGCTGCTAGAAAGTAAGATTCTTGCTCTATCATACATTCCCATCATGCTCCATTGCTTTGCTATAGGTCCCAAAGTAAGTTGCTAACTAGCCCTGGACTGAAACTTCGAAAATTGTGAGCCCAAATTCTCTCCTGTTTCATATCCCTTCTTATAGTATTAGGAAGCTGACAGATACTTCTATGATCATCACCAGGAATTTTTTCTTTACTTGGATTTATCTTTTATCAACGTTTGTTACTTACTAATTTCATTTTTAAAAATTAGCTCTCTTATAATTTTGAACATTTTTTATTTTCATTTCTCTCTCATCATACCATGTCTGTCACCTGAGAACACACAGCATTGTTCTCTCACATAAACACAGATAATGCCCAATGATCTGTACAGGGCCAGGTCCCCCTCTTGTTACCACGGCCTCTATCAGCTCTTTGCTTCATTATCAATCATTACCATCATTTTATAGACCAGAGCTCGCATCTGGTTGGTTCATTTGCCCTCTCTCCTTTCACCTCTCCATCTCTCTCCATGTCTCCATGCTTCTCTCTTTTTCCTGAATGTAATTATGAATATTCAAACTTTGCGACATTTCTCCTTCTTCAGTCCAGATCCTACCATTATCAAATATCCTCATCTGCTTAAAATTCTAATTTCAATCAATGACATTTCCAGTATGCAATTTGCCCCGGCTGAAAAACCTCAGCAAAAAGTGTAATTTTTCTTTCTTCCTTCCTACAACCATTTATCTATTAAGGCATGCCTATTATAGTTTCACATTTAACAGAGGCAATCCACCCTTGTCGATCCGCTCTCTTCTTCAGAATATCATTTCAGGACTCTGTGACTGATTCCTCTCTCTTATCTCAAAGCACCTACCATGGCTGGGTAACTGGTATACAATAATGCATTTGGACATGATTTATTTGTAATGCATTTAAATATAAACGTATTGACCTCTGTGTCTTCTTTTCAACTCACTTTATTCCCAAGGTCAGATATTTATAAGTGAATAAAATTTTGATTAAGAAATCTTTTCAGAATAATTTCTATATCCTAATGAAAGATATGTGTTGTTTTTAAAATTCACAAATAATATTTAAAGGTTTCATGGTGGCCAATAAATTAATTTGTGAAAAAAAACCTATTCAAGTCTTTGAATTGGCTTGAAAAACCACAGGATTTTACGAAGTGACAATGGGAATATCAGGTGGAAGGCAAGGAATAAGCAGGGAATGAACGGCGACACAACAGTCCATGGGTACATGGGCATGTATGTAATGCTGTGTTAGTATGCACGCACACATGTGGTCTGGGATAATGCTCTGTGCTAGAAATGAACAAAACGTTGAAAAAGATTAAGAAAGGCTGCATGCAGCTTTGAATTTGGACTATCTTGAAGAAATGTAATGTTGAAGCTGAAATTAATAATCATTATCTATTGTCTTTCTGAAAAATTAAACCTTTCACTGATATAAGAACCATTGTGTAGAACTAGAGGCCCTATTCCTGAACTGGCCTAAAGGATGCTTTAAAAACAAAAACCACTAACTTATGCTCAAAATGAAGACAATCAGCCTCCCGGGCCTACTCAGGATTGAGCTGTCACATGACGCTGCTCGGCTTTTCTCAAGTCTGCGCTGATCCACCCCAGTCCTCACTTTTCCTTGTTCCACATAATCAAAACTTTGCAGAAGAATGGAAGAAAGTAGCACAGTTTTAAAAAAAAATTAAGTTATCCAAGTATACACTCAAATCTATTCTATGATACAATTAAAGAAAAAGAGAATTAACTACATCAACCTTAATGAATTTCTCTTAACCAGTTTTACACGGTACAATAACAGAATGCTATTAAGCACAATTTAATAATTACCTTTCTTTAGGTCAATCTTAATTTTCTTTGCATTTTTCTTGCTGCCAAACCCCATGAGAGGGGATAGTGAGGGAGATGAAGGTTTTCTTCCTAGTCTTGGAACTCGGGGGCTCTTGCTTTGCTGCAGGGAAATCGTCTCATCTGCTTCAGGACTGTGAGTTCCAGCGAGATTTGCAGCCTGTAAAGCTGCTTTCCCACGGGCAGGAGGTGGAACCTTTGTTCTTGAGGTCCCATCATTGTTGCCAAAGATGTTCAGTGGGCCAATGACTGACTTTTCATACTGCTCACGGTTTTGAGGCAGAAGCACGTGGAGGACCACACTGGGGGATTTCATGGCCTGGCGGAAGACATCCTGGGCCCTTGAAGGAGCGAATGAGCAGAGAATGACATTGTGTTCTGGCGCAAGGCTTGCTGGGGTGCTCAGGTGTGGGACTGACAAGGCAGCCTTGTCAGTAAGGATAGGAGGAGGCAGCGGGATTATTGCTGCAGCATGACTCTGTTTACCACCCGCCCACCAAGGTGCCTCCTCCACACGAGCTACACATGCGTGATGACTGTGTGTAGTCCTCTACCTTATTCTTCTTAACAGCCATATAAAACAAATATAACCCACTCGCATTCAACAAATTCAAGTGGAAGCTCAGAGCCACTAAAGAATTTAACTGGCAACGGTCATCTTTAAAGAGTTTCTAAATATGAAAATCTAGCCGGAATTGATTACTTAAGCACATATTTAAGACCTTTTTAAAATCACATTGTTAATAGATTATTTCTAGTGGACTCTAAGTTGGAGTTTTATGACTCAGTTTCCACTTTGGTAAAACAGGGATCATTGGACTCCTTAGTCTTTGCAAAACAGGGCAGGCAAAATATGTGAGAAACATGATTCTGCCCTATAATAGTTGAATGTAACAAATTGTTTTAGAAAAACATCGTTTCATTCTACCCCTAAGCAGCAGCCAGTGTTACATGCCTCTGACTAGCAGCCACCAGCCCCCACTATTGACAATTAATGGCCAGAGAGAAGCTGTGTTAGGAGCAGTTTGGCTCAGAAGCAAGACAGGATACTGATTATTAATGAAGATTATTACTACTTATTTACTTAACTTAGAAGCCCTAAAATGTCAAGGCATATCAATGTATATGTGTGTATCTGTAGATATGTACAGCTTGATGCAGCTGGAGTCTACATATTCTAATTTGTGCATAGAAACAGGTATTTCTTGTAATATTTTTCACACTGAGAAAGATAACTTTTTAGGTAGAGCATTTTAAATTTAATTTTTATAATTTGTTTCTATTATTCATTGAGTCCTCATAGGAATCACCCACAGATTTTACAGTTTAAGGAAAACTGACATCAAGGATATTAATTAATAAGATGAATTAATTGTCTGTGAAATGAGCCAGTAAACCCCATTCTAATTGACCCATAGGCCACGAAAAACAAACTCCTTCATTCGTGGATGCCCAGAAAGACAGACAGGCAAGAAGGCTCGCTGTATTCTGTGTCTCAATCTACCTACAGACATTGGGCACATGTCTTGGCCACCTAAGACATAAAATGCATTCAAAAATGTATGGTCAGGGGTCACTTAAAGGGAACTGGCTTGACGTTACATCTCTGATTTTGGTCGTAATGAGCTCAACAATGATTATAAATATTCAAGAGATCAATAAAGTAGATAAATAATGAAAAAATGCTTACTGAGCAAAAGTTTTGTCCAGGAGTTCCACGTTGTTGATTTTTACGATGCATTCATTCTCCTGGAACAGTCCCTCCTGCTTGCATCTGCTGTGTTCTTCAATGCCTCGGATGAAGAGTCCTAGGATCCTAGAAACATTTCCATTGAAATAAAACTTCTGAGTATTGGTTTGGGACCATGGTCTGTTTCTGTCAATTATATTTTAAATAGATGCTAATTGGCCAGTAGCCAAGTATATGCAGGACAACCAGACAGGAAGTAGAGGTGGGTCAATGAGAACAGGAGGATTCTGGGAAGAAGGAAGCCCATTCCTGCGCATTTGTGACCCCGCCACAGAAGAAGCAAGATGTGACTTCCCCGCCTAAAGAGGTACTGAGCCATGTGGCTAACACAGATAAGAAATATGGGCTATAATATGTTATAAGCGTTAATAGGAAGCCTGAGCTAATGGGCCAATCAGTTTATAACTAATATAGACCAATGTGTGATTTTTTTGGGGGGGAGGGAATTAATGATTGCAGGAACCAGGTAGGACAAAAAACCCCGACAAAAGTACAAATGTGCTCATTATTTCTTCTCCATAGCTATTCAGAAATAAGTATTGCTTTCTGTTTACTGAATAGATTATGCTTCTATTTGGCCAAATGTTTCATCTTTCAAATTCACACATAATCAATCACACACACACACACACACACACACACACACACACACACACACACCTCTACTTGGAGCAAATATTCATATCATAAATACCAACCCATTTCTATGTTTTCCATGATCTAGGAAAATCAGTAGAGACCATTCCACCCAGGACTGGCAGCTTCAGGGGAGATGCCACTGCTGACTGAAAGGAAGTCCGTCTGAGTGGCGAGGTAGAAATTTGGTACTGGTGATGTGGGAGAATTACACATTCTCAGCATGTTTTGCCATCATAGTGCATGTTACAATAGTTGCATATTAAAAAGTAAACAAACATTTCAGTTCAGACCCTGTTATTCAGAAGGCATATCCATCCCATTCATTCGTGCCTTTGAATCAAGTCCATGTCAGGTGTTCTCTCCATCCTCAGGCTGGAGGACAGGAAGTCTGGAGGACCAGACCTACGTAAATAAGGTAAAGTAAAAGTTCCAAACATGGGCACAATATGGAGCCATCCTAGGGTTTACAAACTAACACTGGGTGGGAGGCCCACACCATCTGGAAGGATCTTCATGTATCAGGCAATGAGCCTAACCTGATGAAGCAGGTGACCACAGCCAACCTCAGAGTCAGAGCAGATACCCCGGGGCTCCTAGAGATTTGGACATTTAGTTCAGAGTCAGAGAGAGAGGGGACTGAAAAATGAAGGAAAATACAAAGGAAATGATAGCAAATGATTTCCTATATAATTCTCCCACATCCATGGAGGTTGTCAGGATCCCCTTTGGGTACCAAATTCTGTGGAAGCTCAAATCCTTTATGAAAAATGGCTTAGTATTTGCATCCCTCTGTACATTTCAATTATCTCTAAATTACCCACAAAATCCAGTACAATGTAAATGCTATGTACGTAGCTAATGTAATGTATAGGGGGATAATAACATTAAAATACCTGTATGTGCTCAGTATGGATAAAAGATTTTATTGATATCTTCTGCCTACAGCAAGTCAAAACTGCTGTGGGTGTGAATTTTCTGGACTCTAGAATTCACATGCAGGCTAGAAGTGCACATGAGCATATGTGTGTTCTCACATGCAATCTTTATCATTCTCATATAAAGCAAAAATAAATCTACCTCAAGAAATGGAGCCTCTACTGATTTTAGCCATTTCTCACTTGGGCGATGTCCTTTATCTTTGTGGCACGGCACAGGCCTCACTCAGTGTCACACTAAGAGTGATGGGTCTCTAGAGATATCGCTGGGTATGGAGAAACTACTGCCTCCATGTTCTCTGTCTCCTTATTATTCTATTTAGTCACTCTCTTTTGAGTACGAGCTTTGTGTGTTAAATTTCAAAGCTAAATAAAATATGAGCACATTTTATGTGTGAATAATAAGGTCACCCATGCAAAAAGAGCAGCCTGTAATGAAAGCCCAGGAGAAAGTACTTCTATGTCTGGAGTGGCCACAGAATTGAGCCTCAGCCTCTGGTCTGAGTTCACTTAATGAGCTCAGACCATCGCAAGGTGCACACAATGGTACTCAGGCTCCTCCTTTGGAAATGTTAATGAGAAGAGTGTGCTTTTGATGCTGCTGACATCCTGGCCAGTATGGACAGGGTCTGGGCTTCATCCCCCAGCTCTAGAACTTTACTAAATGAAGCAGACACATTACAGCACCTTCCTTTCCCAGAACAATACTAACGTGAGACTATTTGACATGAAGAAGGGAGAATTAGATCAAGATTGTGTTTTCTCTGAAATTAAACTGCTCTCTGATAGTCCACAGTTTAGATTTTTGTTTACGGTGGCTTCCCCCTAACATGACCCATTAGGAGGCTCACGTGTGGTTATAAACTAGTTTATGTAAGTGATTTCTTTTTAACAAGCATTCAAGTCTTCCTTTAATTTAATTCAGTACATCATCAGTCATGTAATGTTACTCCCTAGGATTTAATTTCACATTTTGGAGATGAATTAATTCTTTCGGGCCACTGGGTTGCAATTTAGCTAGCGTATTACAGCTGGAGCATGCTACGTGAACCTCGCTGATCTAAATAACCTAACTTGCCATGAAAAATTTATTGACAGAATAAGCCCAACTGTAAAACCTGTGTCAGAGGTAATTTTGGTAAAATGTAAAGCTGACTGATTTCATTAGTTTGGTCCCCAGCAACAAACGCATCCTGCCCTCCCTATTAACCGAAAGGGGTAAATTCCCTACAGTATGATGTCATCTCTACCACTGTGAGAAAGCTTATAAAACAGTATCTACTTTTGCCTCCTGGAAGGGTGATTGCTGCCCTATTTGAGATAAGAACTTACCGGAGTTAACAATTAAGGCTGTGGGGCAATCATAGGGTAAGACAACCCGTTCATCTGTAGTGCTAACGGACGCTCAAAGTTCAATCTCCCAGCAGGCTGAGGAGCAACAAGTGTTTCTCCCTCATGTAATCATCACTTAGACTCTAGTGTCTGGCCCTTGTGCCTGCCCTGTGTTCTCACACAATCCATTGGCTGTACTATCCTGCCTGCTCACCGCCTGTCACTCAAATGAACACAATCCATTGGCTGTACTATCCTGCCTGCTCACCGCCCGTCACTCAAACTCCTCTTCTCACATTGGGAATCTTGTCCTCTCCCTTCCCTTTAGCTGGTTAGCTATTTGTATTATGAAATGGAAGTACATTACCTATTTTTAGTGAAAAAATTACTGCTTTAATTTTTTAAGTTTAATTGACATTTAAAAATAATATTAATGTTGTGATTTTTTATTTGTCTGTAAGGACTTAGTGTTTTGTGTTTATTTTCTTTACTAAAACAAAATCAAAACAAACAAAACTGGGAAAGCCAATAGCCCTCAACAGACACGGTATTCAGTGTTCCCATACTCTGGGAATCTAACGAATTCATGGGGACTTCAGCTGGTGAAGTGGCCTCCAGGTGTTACTCAGATGTTCTTAGAGTAAGTTTCTCAATTAATGAAAAACAAAATAAAACACTGGAAGCAAGGTCAATTACAGTAGTCTTAATAAAGCATTACATGTAAATTCTAATTTTAAATAATGAAGCAAACTAACAAATGGAAGGAAATTAAAGAGCTAAGCATACCACTACGACCTAAGCAAACCCCTGAGCTCACACAGTGAAGTCAGATAGCAGCATGAGGACAGACACTCCTGTGACACGCTCTATAGCGTTCCATCAAGACACATGGGTTGAGTTAAGTATGCTGTTTCAGCCTGTGCTCATTACTTCTTAACTTTTATTGGCTCGTGTCTCCATTTCCACATGATTTTTAATGAAATTTCCTTTCTAAAACAGTAGTGGATACCCCAAAATATAATAGAACCATTTCTTCAAGTTACTGTAGAGTTGACCATGAACTTATAATGAATCCTCATTTGGGAATCAGACTGTTTCTCTTTATACAAAACATTTCACTGACATCTCTGCGTTTCATAGGTTGTGGGGTTTACAAGGTGCAATCACACTTTTAATGTCATTTAAACCCCATAACATTGAGGTGCAGAAGGTTTTCACTACAGGGCTAGCTGGAGGTTATGTGAGGACAACATGTGCCAGGAGTCAGAACCCCAAAGAAGGCAGGGATCAATACATCCTGCTTGTTCCCCTCATCGGAAGCCAGAGGAGGGGATTTCTCATCTAGAGGGCCAGCTTGTTTTTCTGAACTATTGAAGATGAAGGATGGTGAGTGTCACTGTGGATATATTTTTTTTTCATTTGGGGGATTGCAAAGATTCTATGTTCTATTCCAGGTTTATTAAACTAAAGAGCCTGGCAATTTAACCACTCTGGTATTTCACAGAGCTCTATCAGTACACTTCTGCCAAAAGCCATTAGGATTTCTCCTGGGAACTGAATAAATATTCACCTTGTCTGTCAGAAACAACTCGGGTCTGTCCTCTGCTGTAACCCATAACATATAAATACACCTATTAACACACATCGGAAACCAGACAGTAAGAGCCACTGGCTTTCCGCTTCATTTCCTTTTAGAGACAATGGCTCATTCCAGCAAGAGCTTGGCATCAGATGTTATACGGGAGAAAGCTAAGGTGGTGACTTTGCAATTACAGGTAGCAGATGGCTACCTGCTAAAAATGGTGCCAACCCAAATATCATGCCTACAGCCGCTTCTCCTTCGATATGGACAGCTGAATTGAGTAAATATCCAGAGCCAGTAAATTAATACTATATAACCTTTGGGAAAATTGTGTTTCTAGAAAGAGACAGGGAATGATGACAAGTCAGAGATCTCAGTTTTGGTGACTGTGAGGGGAAAAAAAATGATCACTGGTCTTTTCTGGCCCTTAATATATTGGGATAAAATAAAATGTTCTTACTTTTCAATGACCCATTTAAGAAAGGGGATTTAGGCAATTGGTTATAATCATACCCTGTTAATAAAAAGCCGAGTCTTCCTTAGGATTTCTGGGAATTCTTGTTAGGATCAAGGGGGTGCTATAGCAACCACCTTGTCAAAGTTGGCATGCACCAACCGGAAGGTCCATCAAGTCATTATCCTAGCAGTAATGGCAGCTTTGCGGCACCCACTTCATTCCCATCAGCTGAACAGATTTTTATATTCAAGAAGCATTGACACAACCTAAATTAACATTTGCCAGTATGAATTTATCAGAAAATGTCTTTAAAATTCTAAAAGGATGTAATGAATTGTCTTTAGTGGTCTTAACTGTATTTTAGAAAAACAAAACTAACAGAATGATACATTTCTATAACTAAAATCAGTACATGTGTGTGCAGCCAATAAAGCTACTAGACTGTGAATGCTGATCATTCTTCATCCCATATATGAAGAATTTAGAATCGCTATCTTCACTCATTGAAGACTATTTTATTATAGTAAAGAACGCCCCACTCAGCTGTGACATTTGTCTGACAATATGTTAGAATCTTTGCCACGGAGTTTGTTTACGCAGCGGCACTCAAGGATGCTCCAAAGAAGTGCTTCATAATTAATTGTAAGTGGAGAAATTGGCATGATTTTTTTCTCTGCATCCTAGAAATAAATGATTTTAGTCTGTTTCTAAAGCATGAGGCCAAGCAAAGTATTACTTAAGGAGTCCCTCTGAATAAGAGATTGCCACTTAACTCTCTCCTGGAAAAGGAGTTCATCAGGCTTTTCGTTAGCGTGAGCTTCAGAGACAAGGAAAACACCTTACCGTCCACTCAGAGATGAAAAGAAGGGCACCACATGTATCCCCAGGGGGTCTCCTTCCCCAGAAATCTCCACCGCTCTTGTCATGTCACTGGGGCAGAGCAAAACAGGAACACACATGAGTTTTAGCTAACAGCAGATGCGGTCCACTAACTCACCCACAACACTCTTCCCTGACCATATCAACTGCTGTGACTTCACGTCTATGCTGAGACAGGAAAGCAGGCTGTGCTGATGTGCTTGAGGATCCACAAAACAAGCATGTTAAAAGACTCTCTGATTTCTTATTTGAATCTTCTTTGAAGAAAGAAAGTTGAGAAATAACTCACCGCTAAAATAGTTTCCCACTTAATCTGCACAAATCAACAGAGATACAAAGAAGTGCACAGAAAGAAATCTCTCCCTGATGAGACTTTCTTGAAAATGACTGTACAGACCATAAACACACAGAAATAAGTATATCCGTGCTTAGGCCTGAAGTAGAATTTTTCCCCAGAAATGGTTAAAAAAAGGAAATAAAATTATTTATGAAAAAATGCACTGAATCGCAGTTTATAATGGCAAGGAAGCCACAGTTGGCAACACAGCTGGGCATGTTCAAAGCAACAGAAATCAAAGCTTGCATCAGTTTTACTCAATGGAACAATTCCAAGTTTTCACCTCCTGGTTTATTTATTTATATCTTTAAGGCAGAGGAGAAGTTGCAAAGAAACAGAGAAAACGTATTATAGAAAGTCTGACCTGCCTAACCTCGCTCAGCTTAGGAAAGGATGAGCGAGAAAAGCTAACAGGGAGTGTGCGTGACTGAAATGTGGACTGCGCTGGGAGTTTCCAGGTCACAGGGACCAGGGCTAGCAGGTTTCCGTAAAGATGAAAAATAATAACTGTGAACAATTATTGGCTCCTGTAATCCCAGAGATAGAAGACAAAATTGCCAGAGGAGAATGAGAAAGTTGAAACAAGCATCCATTGATGGAAATTCTAAACACATTTCTATTATTTTCCATTCACATGAAAATGACCTGAAACTAGATGTCACATTAGGAGCCACTGCTGCCTCGGCTACTTTTCTGCTCCAAACTGAAAATGGTAAAAATTTGGCTCCTTGCTGGAAAGTTGAGAACAGTATTAAGAAAACAAAGTGTCTGATGAATCCACCCTGCATGAAATATTTTTTAAAATTATCAGCAATCTAAAGTAAATACATTAAGTATATGCTAGTCAGCAGACCAGGCTTATTGTTAATGCATTTCCTTGAAACCTTATTATCAATAAGAACTAAAAAACATTAATAATAACAAGATAAAATAAAAGCAAGACAGTTTCTAGCATTTCGGGGAGACGATGCAATTTCAAAACTGATAATAGATTTCAAATCATCTTCACTCAGATACTGCCGGGACATTCAACTTTTTCAGTCAAGCAGGCTACATAAGAGGCCTGCAAGAAAATCACAAAGCAAGCATACCTAAGCATGATGACAGAGAACAAAGGACTTGTTTCTATGTGAGTGAGCACAGCAATGAACATAGGTACATCTGGATGGGCACCGATGTGCACTGCAAGCTCAAACACAAAACACTTGGTGGGCACAGAAACTTGTACGGGTTTTGATGATCCAAATATGATACTAGATTTACAATTATAAGGATCAAAAGAAGACCAACTCCAAAGATTCCAATTTAAAAATCTTAAAAACTGTGACTAAACTCTTATAAAATCCAGTAAAACATGTTACCTTTCCCTTTATAATTCTTAGAATTTTGCCGACCAACACAAGGCTCTCCTGAAAAATATATCAAGTATATCTTTACCTGTGAATATCATCCACACTTAATATAGAATATATAAAATATTAGTGTTTAGTCTAGGGCAGACTGCAAGATTTCAGCTCATATGTGGCTTTTATAGATATTGGCTTCTATGGAACTTACTTTTTTATATTCTATAAATATTTCTTTAAATCTACTCAAAATTTTTGTAAACCATAATAAACTTGATATAAAACACCATTTTAGTAATTATTAATATTGTGTTTCTGAAATCAACAAAGTCAGTCTTATATTTTTTCTTTCTTATTCAAAACTACTAAAATTTTAGAAAAGTTTAGGTTTTAGAATTAATTTCTATATGAAATTCCCTTTTTTACATTTTAGAGTAAACTTTTTTTAATCAAGGTAAACTTCCAATTTTTCTTATACACAACAGTCATAATTCTCTAACTAAGATTCTTGACAACTTTTAGAATATTCAAAAAAGGCTATCATAATAGGGAAAAAACACACAGTGAATGATTAATTTTATAAACTGTAATAAGCATGCATACAATCACAGCAACTTGGATCTGTTTAAAAAAGATGGTCTGATCTCCAAAATATATAGAGAACTCAGGAAACTAGACTTTAAAATGCTAATTAACCCAATTAAAAAATGGGGCACTGAACTGAACAGAGAATTCTCAACAGAAGAAGTTCAAATGGCCAAAAGACACTTAAGGTCATGCTCAACCTCTTTAGCGATCAGGGAAATGCAAATCAAAACAACTTTGAGATATCATCTTACACCTGTCAGAATGGCTAAAATAAAAAACTCCAATGATAGCCTTTGCTGGAGAGGCTGTGGAGGAAGGGGTACCCTCATCCATTGCTGGTGGGAATGCAAACTTGTGCAACCACTTGGAAATCAGTGTTTCAGTTTCTCACGAAATTCGGGATCAACCTACCCCTGGACCCAGCAATACCACTCCTGGAAATATACCCAAGAGATGCCCTATCATATGACAAGAGCATTTGTTCAACTATGTTCATAGCAGTATTATTTGTAATAGCCAGAACCTGGAAACAACCTAGATGCCCTTCAATGGAAGAATGGATGAAGAAAGTGTGGAATATATACACATTAGAGTACTACGCTGCGGTAAAAAACAATGACTTCTCGAATTTTGCATGCAAATGAATGGAAACAGAAAACACTATACTGAGTGATGTAAACCAGACCCAAAAAGATGAACATGGGATGTACTCACTCATAATTGGTTTCTAGCCATAAATAAAGGGTCACGGAGTCTACAATTGGTAAACCTAAGGAAGCTAAGTAAGAAGGTGAACCCAAGGAAAAACATATAGTTATCCTCTTGACTACGGGAAGTAGACAAAATTGCCAGGGAGAAAATGGGGATCTTGGGGGTGGAGTGGGATGGGGGTAAGGGGAGATGGGGAGAGAAAAGGGAGAAGGGGAGCATGGGGGGAACTTGGGGAAAAAGGATGATTGGGATAAAGGAAGGTTGGATAGGGGAGCACGGAAGCACAATTCTTAGTTAAGGGAGCCACCTTAGGGTTGGCAAGAGACTTGAACCTAGAGTGGCTCCCAGGAGCCCAAGGCGATGTCCCCAGTTAGTTCCTTGGGCAGCTGAGGATAGGGAACCTGAAATGACCCTATCCTATAGCAATACTGACGAATATCTTGCATATCACCATAGAACCTTCATCTGGTGATGGATGGAGATAGAGACTGGAGCACTGGACTGAGTTCCCAAGGTCCCAATGAGGAGCAGAAGGAGGGAGAACATGAGCAAAGAAGTCGGGACCATGAGGGGTGCACCCACCCACTGAGACAGTGGGGCTGATCTATTGGGAGCTCACCAAGGCCAGCTGGACTGTGACTGAAAAAGCATGGGATAAAACCGGACTCTCTGAACATGGCGAACAATGAGGGCTGATGAGAAGCCAAGGACAATGGCACGGGGTTTTGATCCTACTTAATGTGCTGGCTTTGCAGGAGCCTAGCCATTTTGGATGTTCACCTTCCTAGATATGGACGGAGGGGGGAGGACCTTGGACTTTCCACAGGGCAGGGAACTCTGACTGCTCTTTGGACTGGAGAGGGAAGGGGAGAGGAGTAGGGGGAGGGGGAGAAGGGTGGGAGGAGGGTGAGAAGGGTGGGAGGAGGGGGAGGGAAATGGGAGGCTGGGAGGAGGCGGAAACTTGTTTTTTTTTCCTTTTCTCAATAAAAAAAAAGATGATGTTCAAATCTTTACATAGATCATGCCCTAAGTTTATAAAAAATTTATCCCTAAGTTTTTTCTGCATGCAAAGAACGGCATGTGCAATATGATGCCACATAGATATGCTAACATGTTTTATTGATTGTGAAATGAGAATCACCACCATCTTATAAGTACTTGCTTGTTATGTAGAAATGTCTATATGTATATACTTCGTGGGACAGAGATACAGCAAGGAGGACAGTACATACACTCTTATTTATCTCAAAATACCTCAATACCTATCTCAAAATTGAAAGTTTTACAAAGATGTGAATCATGCTACTAATGTTTTTTTAGATAAACCCCAGAGTGCAATTTGTATTTGGTGTCCAGTTGTTCAGGTTCAGAGAACAATGCAGAAATCGTGCTATGTGAGTGGCAATCGAGACTAAGAAGGAAAACGCAGAAAATAAGGTAGAAATAATATTCTGGAAATGGAAGGTAAAACAAACCAAGAAACAGACAAAAATGGGACCCATAAGGGATAAGTATCACAGCACAAACACGTGGTTAGAGCTCCCTAAGATCAAAATAGTTGTTCTGGGAGATGCTTACAAACACCAGGCCAACAATACTAAGCTAGCTGAAGTCCCTAAGGTCTACGTGACAGAGATGACTCAATAGTCACTGGGACCAACCATTGCCAGTCTGAGAGCTCTGGACAGAACTATGGAAAAAGCCACAGATCGGTGGATAAAGATAACAGTGTCATTACAGATAGCTACTCTGTGAAATTAGATACTAAGCACTTCAACTGGTTTATACTGACAAAGAGGAATTGAAGTTTAGGCAGAAGATGCAATGTGTGCTGCAGATATCTCTAGGTCTTATTCCTTCATCCCAAGACAAATGGACAGGATTTACATTAATATTACTCAACACAGGCTCCACCCTCTCAACTGGAGAGAAAGGATTAAGGACAGAGGACAATTTTTCTCCCAAGAGTGACTGACTGTAAGTCCGATGTCTGTCTGAGTTACTTAAACCAAGATGCCAAGCCTCAGTTTCTTCATCTATGTAATGAGGACATTGTGGCCTCGGACACC